GCCCAGGGCCCGAATTTTTTGGGAAACCCTTGATTTTTCTCCGGGAAAATCATGAAATATCTCACGAAACGTTTTGCATTAACACATTTTTTTGCTTTTCCACAAGTTATTTCCTTTTGTGTGAAATTGGGACAAAAAAAAAAAAAAGGGGGGTTTTAAAAGTGCAAATTCGACAAAAATGTCACAAAAACCCCCTCCAAAAAAGGGCTGGCCCCAAAAGTATTGGAAAAAACCCTTCACAACGCGGATAAATAAGAATGTTACAAGAAAGGGGGTTTGCCCTGTAAACCACCTGGGCAAGGGTTAACCAGGTGGGGAAAATATAGAAATCAAAACCGAAAGCAAAAAAAGGAAGACTTCATTTAAACCCTTTTTGCATTTGTGTCTGTCTGTGCCCACTAAGAAAGGCCCAACAAAAAGAGGAAGCCGAGAACTGCCCCTGAGGACCTGAAAACCCCAAAATTGTGGCAAAATATCAACAATCTAAAGGGTTTTACAAGCCCCATCTCCAGAGAACAAGATTTCCCCCTTTGGGCCCCATTTTTGCGCAACATTTAAAAGAATTTGAAACCCCCATGGCACGTACCCAACCCTCCCTGGTCGGGACGGGAAAAAATTTGATGAAAGATTGCAACGCAGAATAAGCCCCGGAGGGGTGGATAAGCACCCCAAACATTTTTCCAAAAGGGACTTTTCAACTGCCCCCTGCAGGCTCGGGGGAGCATCAGGGGCCCCAGCGCGAACTACCCCGTCCGAAAATTAAATAAAAATAAAAACGCTTTTGGCAGGAGACCCGGGAGGCCCCCCAAACGCTGACACAGAGACATAAAAAAAAAAGACTAAAATTTTGGCCAAAATGTACTTGGGGGTAAGCCAAAAGCCTTCTGGGAAAACGTCTTTGGGACAAAATAAGGGACCAAAAAAGAGTTTTTTCGGAAAAAGCACAACATTCTACGTTTACCGAAAACGGAATGACGTCAAAAAAAAAACACGGGTCCCTACGTAAAAATATGGTGGAGGCCAATAAAGTTTTGGGTTGTTTTGCTGCCTCTGGCACTGGGGTCCTTGACTGTTGGGGCAAGGCAACATGAAATCTGAGGATTTCCAAAGGATTTTTGGGTCGCACTGTAGGGCCCAAGTGGGCCAAAAAAAATGGGGAAAAAGCCAAGACCGGGCTTTCCGCCGGGCCCTGACCCCCAAAAAATCCGGCCCCCAAAACCCTCAGAAATGGGGCAAAGAGCGCGGAGAGTTTCTAATGGGCCCGCAAAAGAGCCCCGAACTAAATCCCATGAAAACCTTGGGGGAGATCTTTAAAAATTTCTTTTTGGAAAATTGGGGTTCCTTTTCCCAATAAGAGAGGGCCCTTTAAACTGAATTTTCAAAGGAAGATTGGGCCAAAAAATTTCCCGGGGAGAGGTGTCAAAGCTTATTGAGGTTAAAAAGTAAACGGGCCGATTTCATTTAAAGTTTTCCAAAGGGGTGCAACCAAATTTAAGTTAAAAATAACATACTTGAGTAATAGAAGTGGGTTCATTTTCACCAAAGGCTTTTATTATTGTGGCCCATATTATCATGATTCACTTGTGTTCATCTTACATTACAAGGTGGCCCAAAGTGCTCGTGGTGGTATTAATTTTTCAAAAGCAATATTGAATTATGGGACACCATTTTCTGTGTTTAACGGAAAAAGAATTGCAAATAGCAAATCACTTTCCTCCATGTTTATCACCTTGCCACAATGTTCTCCAAATATTATGGTGCTGTGTTCT